AGGAAGGGGAAGCATTTCCTCGGTCTCCCATCCCCCAGTGATCAGACTGTACATTGTAATTTTGTAGAAGGAAGAGGAAACATGTTCTCAGTCTCCCCTCCCCCCAGTGATCAGACTGTACATTGTAACATTGTAGCGAGCATGCAGTAGGGGCTGATCTGCATCAGACATTTGTAGCACAACCAAGAATTTACACGACTGTGTCACCTCTGAGCCATCATCTTAGTCCAGGAAGTAGATGGTGACTCTGGTTGACTCCCGAACAAAGATGGCGCCGTTCTTCTGGAGAGAAAAGCAGATGAAGGCATTGCTGGGGAAGGGGTTGCTGGGATGAGTAGTAAACACTTGGAAGAGTTCCACTGACACCTTAGATATGGTGACAGGTCCACTTTAAGTTCCAGCCAACTCTTAACCCAACACCAGACGCTACAACCTGAGCCTCAGGAAAAGACAAAGCACACGTGTTCATTGGGGAGGACTGATCCTTGAAGAAGGGGGAGGGGCTATGTTCGATGGCTTAAAGGAAACGTCCTCAGCTTTGTACCAAAGATTTGTATAGATAGGAATATGTTATAGTATAAGACGTTGAGTGTTTTATTGTAGAGAACTCGGAGCTACAATCAGCTTTCAAAAAAAAGCGCAAAGAACTGCATTCAAAAAAAGTGCGTCCGTAACTGTTATCAGCCAATCAGAAGAGGACTGACCCAACGGGCGGAGGATACATTGTAGCACTTAATGGCTCTTTGCACTTTGTTACCAGTCAGGACTAATAGTATCTTCATAGAAATGAACGATGTTTGGGGGTCAGGGGCAATACTCGGGGCAAATTTAATATGAAAAATGATCGAAAATGAACAATCAACAAAAGGGATTGATCCTTGAAGGGGGGGGGAGGGGCTCTTTTTGACGCTTTAAGGCCTCGTTTACACTCGCTTCAAAATATGGCGTTGGACGCGCTTTTTTTTTGAAAGGGCTCTGAATGCCAATCAAAGCTCCTGTCACAAAATAAAATGGTAAGCTTCCAGTCCTGTTCATGCGTTGGATTTGCTTCAGAAATGATAGTGTCTCCAATCTGACATAGAAGTCGATGATCACGCTCGCTGACAGCGCCTGCGGCTTTTGAGGGGCTTTCATTTATTGCAGGTGTGAGATATCCCAGGATGCACTGGGAACGGGGGCGTATTTACCACAAGGCAAACAAGGCACGTGCCTAGGGCGGCATTTTTCAGGGGGGCAGCACCTCCCCCCAGAAGAAGTGATGAAAGAAGGGACACGGGAACCAGGTAGGATCCGAGAGAGGCTGTGGGCTACTTGATGGTGTATGTAGAGCTGGACTCTCGTTCCCGGGCATGTCCAGAGCTCAGTGTCTCCCTACCACGGGGGAGGGGGTTTAGTGGAAGGCTCTTCCAGGTGAGGGGCAGGGCAAATGTCAAGGGAGAAGGGGGGTGGTATTGGCTCGTGTCCGTAGGGGCAGATGATTTTTGTGTTGCCTAGGGCAGCACAAAACCTAAATACACCACTGGCTGGGGGGGTTACTACTGAGTTGGGGATCGGCAGAGCTGGGGGTTACTGCTGAGTTGGGGATCGGCAGAGCTGGGGGGTACTACTGAGTTGGGGATCGGCAGAGCTGGGGGTTACTGCTGAGTGGGGGATCGGCAGAGCTGGGGGTTACTGCTGAGTTGGGGATCTGCAGAGCTGGGGGTTACTGCTGAGTGGGGGATCGGCAGAGCTGGGGGTTAATGCTGAGTTGGAGATCGGCAGAGCTGGGGGTTTCTGCTGAGTTGGGGATCAGCAGAGCTGGGGGTTACTACTGAGTTGGGGATCGGCAGAGCTGGGGGTTACTACTAAGTGGAGGATCGGCAGAGCTGGGGGTTACTACTGAGTTGGGGAGTGGCAGAGCTGGGGGGGGGGTTGCTACTGAGTTGGGGATAAGCAGGCCTGGGGGTTACTACTGAGTGGAGGATCAGCAGAGCTGGGGGTTACTACTGAATGGGGGATCGGCAGAGCTGGGGGTTACTACAGAGTTGGGGGTTACTACTGAATTGGGGATCGGCAGAGGTGGGGGTTACTACTGAGTTGGGGATCGGCAGAGCTGGGGGTTACTGCTGAGTTGGGGATCGGCAGAGCTGGGGGTTACTGCTGAGTTGGGGATCGGCAGAGCTGGGGGGTTACTACTGAGTTTGGGATCGGCAGAGTTGGGTGTTACTACTGAGTTGGGGATCGGCAGAGCTGGGGGTTACTGCTGAGTTTGGGATCGGCAGAGCTGGGGGTTACTGCTGAGTTTGGGATCGGCAGAGTTGGGGGGTTACTACTGAGTTGGGGATCGTCAGAGCTGGGGGTTACTGCTGAGTTGGGGATCGGCAGAGCTGGGGGGTTACTACTGAGTTTGGGATCAGCAGAGTTGGGGGTTACTACTGAGTTGGGGATCGTCAGAGCTGGGGGGTTACTACTGAGTTTGGGATCGGCAGAGTTGGGGGTTACTACTGAATGGGGGATCGGCAGAGCTGGGGGTTACTACTGAGTTTGGGATCGGCAGAGTTGGGGGTTACTGCTGAGTTGGGGATCGGCAGAGTTGGGGGTTACTGCTGAGTTAGGGATCGGCAGAGTTGGGGGTTACTACTGAGTTGGGGATCGGCAGAGCTGGGGGGTTACTACTGAGTTTGGGATCGGCAGAGCTGGGGGGTTACTACTGAGTTGGGGATCGTCAGAGCTGGGGGTTACTACTGAGCTAGAAATTGCATAAAACACGAGAGACGTCTACAGCCTGCTGACATTCTAGGATCACAAGAGACGGGCGGCTGCCTGTGAGGAGAGGAAGTATAACTCGCCCTTGTAATGCGGTAAGAAGAACCCCCGGCATCGGCCTGGCAGCGCAGGCAGGAACCGGCCACGGGGGGTCGAGTTTCAAGCAAAAAAAAAAAAAAAAAAGCTTTCATCATTTCCTATGAAACTTTATTGCACAGATCACAACCCAAAACCAAAACTATCATATTGCAGCTTACCAGTCATTAGGTGTGGGGGCTGCATTCATTTTCTTTTCTTTTAGACTTTTATTCCCCCCCCCCCCCCAGCTGTTTTCACCTGGTGATCTGGCCAGTGACACACCTCCTATATTGGAGCACGCCCACTCTGGAGGAAGGAGCACAGGAGGCACAGGAGACAGCAGCATTGTCAGTCCGGTGTGTGTGTGAGTGTGTGGGGAGGTGTTAGAAGGACTAGCAGATTTAAATACACTAACAAATTGCAGCCAAACTCCAGATCACACTTTATAATCAGTTTCAGCAGTTTTCCTTTTGGGATAAAAAAAAAATAATCTGATCACTGAAAGCACCCCTGTCTGTAGGAGATGTCGTTTCTTCCCTGTAAAGCAGGGGTATCAAACTTGCACCCTCCAGCTGTTGCAAAACTACAAGTCCCATCATGTCCCTGCCTTCGGGAGCCACGCTTGTAACTGTCAGCCTTGCAATGCCTCATGGGACTTGTAGTTTGGCAACAGCTGGAGGGCCACCAGTTTGACACCCGTGCTGTAGAGGATACATCTGGAAGAGAGCTTGTTCAGTTAAAAAACAACAGACATACTGGCTAGATCCAACAAAGAACACAGCACCTCTAGGCCTGGGTTCACACTGCCGCGGTACGGAATTCGCAGTGTTTTCCGCAGCGCATCAGAATTGCACCCCGTTCATGCGAGCCGCTGCGGGTGTGTATGTTAAATTGACAACCCCCCCCGAAAGCGGTCCGCAAAGCGCGGTGCAATGTGCAGAATCGGATCGCATAGGTATGAATACCCGTGCGATCTGATTCTAGTGTGGACCCAAAAAAGGGTCCTGTGCGTTTTTGGTGCAATTAGAGCCATACATAATGTACGACTTCAATTGCTCCACCCACAAATCACATGTGATTGGTACAGGAAGGAGGTCCACAAGGTTTAGGAGGGTGTCTATGGGAAGGTTGGACCATTCTGCCAGAAGCACATTTGTCAGGTCAGGCACTGATGTCGGGGGAGGAGGCCTGGCTCACAGTCTCCGCTCTAATTCATCCCAAAGGTGTTCTATGGGGTTGAGGTCAGGACTCTGTGCAGGACAGTCAAGTTCCTCCACCCCAAACTGGCTCCTCCATGTCTTTATGGACCTTGCTTTGTGCACTGGTAGGCAGTCATGTTGGAACAGGAAGGGGCCATCCCCAAACTCCTCCCACAAAGTTGGGAGCATGAAATTGTCCACAATGTCACCTTAAGAGTTCCCTTCATTGGAACTAGGGGGCCAAGCCCAACCCCTGAAAAGCAACCCCACACCCTAATCCCCCCTCCACCAAACTTTACACTTAGCACAATGCAGTCAGGCAAGTACCGTTCTCCTGGCAACTGCCAAACCCAGACACGTCCATCGGATTGCCAGACAGAGAAGCGTGATTGGTCACTCCAGAGAACATGCCTCCTCTGCTCTAGAGTCCAGTGGCGGCGTGCTTTACACCACGGCATCCGATGCTTTGCATTGCACTTGGTGATGGAAGGCTTGGATGCAGCTGCTCGGCCATGGAAACCCATTCCATGAAGCTCTCTATGCACTGTTGTTGGGCTCATCTGAAGGCCACACCAAGTTTGGAGGTCTTTAGCTATTGACTCTGCAGACAGTTGGCGACTTCTGCGCACTGTGCGCTTCAGCATGGGCTGACCCCGCCCTGTCATGTGACATGGCCTACCACTTGGTGGCTGAGCGGCTGTTGTTCCCAGTGGCTTCCACTTTGTTATAATCCCACTAACAGTTGAGCGTGGAATATTTAGTAGCCAGGAAATGTCACGGATGGACTTATTGCCCAGGTGGCCACCTATCACGGGACCACGCTTGGAGTCACTGAGCTCCTGAGAGCGACCCATTCTTTCACCAATGTTTGTAGAAGCCGTCTGCATGCCTAGGGGATGATTGTATACACCTGTGTCCATAAGGGGATTGGAACACCTGAATCACATGATATGGAGGGGTTTGGAACACCCGAATCACATGATATGGAGGGGATTGGAACACCCGAATCACATGATATGGAGGGGATTGGAACACCCGAATCACATGATATGGAGGGGATTGGAACACCTGAATCACATGATATGGAGGGGATTGGAACACCTGAATTACATGATTGGGAGAGGATTGGAACACCTGAATCACATGACATGGAGGGGATTGGAACACCTGAATCACATGACATGGAGGGGATTGGAACGCCTGAATCACATGACTGGGAGGGGATTGGAACGCCTGAATCACATGATTGGGAGGGGATTGGAACGCCTGAATCACATGATAGGGAGGGGATTGGAACACCTGAATCACATGATATGGAGGGGATTGGAACACCTGAATCACATGATATGGAGGGGATTGGAACACCTGAATCACATGATATGGAGGGGATTGGAACACCTGAATCACATGATATGGAGGGATTTGGAACACATGAATCACATGATATGGAGGGGATTGGAACACCTTAATCATAGGATTGGGAGGGCGGGGCCAATATGTTTGGCGATATAGTATATATATATGTAGATGGGAGGAGCTTCTGTAACCCTCAGGAGCCACTCAAAGCCCATTGCACCATTAGAAAACCACCATAAACCACTTTCATTTCATCATTTTCTTTAATTCTGATGCGTTTTGCCAAAGTGTCCCAATTTTGAACCAAATTTTAGCACAGTTGCCATTGTGGCCAAATTGCAGGTAATTACACAAAATTCACCAGCAGGGGTCACTCTATTCCCTCAGGTGGACATTCATTGACATGACATCATCAGAGCCCGGATAGCTCAGTCGGTAGAGCATCAGACTTTTAATCTGAGGGTCCAGGGTTCAAGTCCCTGTTCGGGCGACGGCCATTTTTTTAAATTCCACTATGAATATGGAGCAAAGACTAATGCCGGCCATAGACGGGTCGAAAAAAAAAAAAAAAAATGAAAAATTGGTCGTAAAATCGGCCGACGTTACCACCAACGGTAAACAAATCGGCTGATTTTCGTCCCGCCTACGGCCGCCATTTTTACTTCTGTCCCTGCAGAGAGCTCCGCTATTATATTTTATATGAAGAGTCTTGCGGTTGCAACAATGTATCCATTTGTATTCATTTCGGATGCAGATGTTTTATTTGGATACAAATGGATACATTGTTGCAACCGCAAGACTTTTCATGTAAATCTTCTTCTTCTTGCAGGTCACGGCTCATGCGCAGATTTTTTATCGGTAAAACGATCGGGCCGATTTGCTCATCATTGCCGTCAAAATCGGCCGCAAATTTTCCAACTTTACCGATAAAAAAAATGTGCCAAAACCCTAAAAAAGGCCGACTAATTAACCCACTAATGGTGGGAACATTGGACGATTTTTTTTTTTGGCCGAAAAATTGGCCAATGTTCGACCCGTCTATGGCCTGCATTAAGCTGTTGCCATCGAATGGAGCCGCCCTACGAGCGCCCGGCGTGTGATTATGACACGGTAGGGCAGCATTTGACGGGTTAAATCGGCCAATGAAAAGGCAACGTACCGCCTCCGCACAGCCTTTCGAAATCCTTTGAAGAGCGACCAGGGCGTGGATCGCTTTTCAGAGGAGCAGTGGTCCTTGCCACACATCTAAACAAGCCCTTTTTTTTTTTTTGCCACAAGACCGATGACCTGAGCTCCTCCCCCCCCCCCCCCCCCACAGGAGCCATTTGAAGCCCATTGGACCCTTAAAATCACCCAAAACACCTCAATTTCCCATTAACTTCAATGCTTTTTGCCACTGACCAAAAAGTCGAAACCCCCGATCAGGGGCGGACTGACCATTTGGGAACTCGGGCACTCCCCAAGGGCCCGGAGTAAGTAGGGAGCCCCATGAGATGCCCCTGGTACCTTTCATAGGCTTTTTTGGGTGTGGTTTGAGTGTGGACGAGGACACAGGGGCCCCATGATCCCCTGTTGCCCGGGGGCCCCATGAGTTGTCAGTCCGATTCTGCTCCTACTGGGTACCAGGGGCATCTCATGGTGCCCCCTACTGACTCCGGGCCCCCGGGCAATAGGGGATCATGGGGCCCCTGTGTCCTTGCCCACACTCAAACCCAGGGGCGGACTGACCATTTGGAAACTCGGGCACTGCCCGAGGGCCCAGAGTCAGTAGGGGGCCCCATGAGATGCCCCTAGTACCTTTTTAATAGGCTTTTTTGAGTTTGGGCAAGGACACAGGGGCCCCATGATCCCCTATTGCCCGGGGCCCCATGAGTTGTCAGTCCACCCCTGCTCAAACCACACCCAAAAAAGCCTATGAAAGGTACCAGAATATCTCATGGGGCCCCCTTCTGACCCCGGGCCCTTGGGCACTGCCCGTGTTCCGAAATGGTCAGTCCGCCCCTGGACAAAACAGAAAATCGATGTACGGTCAAATCTTGAATGGTAGATTTGCAGGTAATTACATGAAGAGACCAGCAGGGGTCGCTCCTCTCTCTCTCTCTCATAGACCTACAATGTGAAGAAAAGCCGTGAAGTTCAGAATTCTTTCAAAAATATCGATTTTTAAATTGTTTCTTTTTATATCAAAAAGTTACAAAATGCAAAGTGAGCGAAGCAACCAATCGCAATAATCGATTTCACATGAGAGCTGGTTCACGCTATTCCCTGATATAAATTGCAGGGGAACACGCTGAGCGTCTCCGTGTCATTCAAAAGCGGGTCTTTGCGCTGCGATTTCATGCCCAATGGGGTGAAATCGCACTGCGCTAAAAGTAGCGCATGCACTACTTTTTCTAAACGCACGGCAAACGCATCGCACTTTTCACCATGCAGCTTGGTGCCGGCCAGTGTTGGGCAAATGCAATGCGCTTGCGACCTGCGTTCGGGGTGCCGTTAACTTTAACTGACCCCCCCCCACACAGCAGATCGCAAGGACATTGAGATCGGAATGCGGTGAAGGAAGTCGCACGGGAACGCCGCTCTCCTACACCGCATTCCAGTGTGAAGGAAACACTTAAACTCCTCACTACCGAAGTGGGAACAGCTGTGTAGGAGGCTAAAACTGGGCGAGGAACAGCCAAACTCTGCTAGTAAGGTGAGGTTGTGGAAGACTGGGGTTTATTATTATTATTAAAAATTATACATTTGTAATAAATAATAATCTCCTAGATTGTAAGCTCGAAAGAGCAGGGCCCTCGAACCCCTCGTGTATTGTATTGTTACTGTCTCGTCTCATGATCTGTCCCCCTCGCTATTGTACAGCGCTGAGCATACCCTTTGGCGCTATATAAATACTGTATAATAATAATAATAATAAATTTGTAATAAATAATAATAATAAATAAGAATAATAAAAATAATTTGTAATAAATAATAAGAATAATACATTTGTGATAAGTAATAATAAGGAATTTGTAATAATAATAATACATTTGTAATAAATAAGAATAAATAAATAAGAAAATAGAATAATAAGAAGAATAATAAGAAGAATAATTTGTTATAAAATAAATAACAAATTTGTAATAAATAATAAGAATAATAAAAGAATAATAATAAGAATAATTTGTAATAAATAATAATAATAATGAATTTGTAACAAATAATAATGAATTTGTAATAAATAATAATAATACATTTGTAATAAATAATAATAATGAATTTGTAATAAATAATAAAAAGAATAATAAATAACAAGAATAATAAGAAGAATAATTTGTAATAAATATTAATAAGAATAATAAATAAGAATAATAAGAGGAATAATTTGTAATAAATAATAACGAATTTGTAATAAATAATAATGAATTTGTAATAAATAATAAAATAATAAATAAGAAGAAGAATTTTTAATAAATAATAATAATACATTTGTGAATAATAATAATGAATTTGTAATAAATAATAATAATACATTTGTAATAAATAATAATGAAATTGTAATAAATAATAAAAAGAAATAATAAATAACAAGAATAATAAGAAGAATAATTTGTAATAAAAAATAAGAATAATAAATAAGAATAAAGGAATAAAAAAAAAAAAAATAAATAAAATGAATATTTGTGTAATAAATGAGAATAATAATAATAATAATAATTTTTAATAAAAAAATAATAAAAAAAATAATAATAAAGAAACATTTGTGAATAATAATAATGAATTTGTAAAAAAATAAAAAGAATAACAAAAAAAAGAATAATAATAAGAATAATTTGTAATAAATATTAATAAGAATAATAAATAAGAATAATAAGAGGAATAATTTGTAATAAATAATAATAACAAATTTGTAATAAATAATAATGAATTTGTAATAAATAATAATAAAATAATAAGAAGAATTTTTAAAAATAAATAATAATAATACATTTGTGAATAATAATAATGAATTTGTAATAAATAATAATAATACATTTGTAATAAATATGAATAATGAAATTGTAATAAATAAAAAAAAGAATAATAAATAAAAGAATAATAAGAAGAATAATTTGTAATAAATAATAAGAATAATAAAAAAGAATAAGAGGAATAATTTGTAATATTTAATAATGAATTTGTAATAAATGAGAATAATAATAATAATAATAATTTTTAATAAATAATAATAAAAAAATAATAATAAATTTGTGAATAATAATAAAAAAATTGTAATAAATAAAAAGAATAACAAATAACAAGAATAATAATAAGAATAATTTGTAATAAATATTAATAAGAATAATAAATAAGAATAATAAGAGGAATAATTTGTAATAAATAATAATAACAAATTTGTAATAAATAATAATGAATTTGTAATAAATAATAATAATAATAAGAAGAAGAATTTTTAATAAATAATAATAATACATTTGTGAATAATAATAATGAATTTGTAATAAATAATAATAATACATTTGTAATAAATATTAATAATGAAATTGTAATAAATAATAAAAAGAATAATAAAGAACAAGAATAATAAGAAGAATAATTTGTAATAAATAATAAGAATAATAAATAAGAATAAGAGGAATAATTTGTAATAAATAATAATGAATTTGTAATAAATGAGAATAATAATAATAATAATAATAATTTTTAATAAATAATAATAAATAATAATAATAATACATTTGTGAATAATAATAATGAATTTGTAATAAATAATACTAATAAATAATAATGATGATAATAGTAAATAATAATCCTGAACCTGGAAAATTTTAAATCGTATCAAGTGTGAACTGGCGACTAAGGCTTGCTTCACACTGAATGCGATTTAAAATCGTGCGTTTTGTTTGCGATTTTACTGCGTTTTCTGAAGATTTCCCGATTTCTTGCGTTTTGCAGGCAATTTCTAAAGTCGTTCTTGTATGACTTTTTCTGCAGTTTGTTGCGATTTCACATACATGGACAATAGAGATCCCACTGCAAATGCAGGAAATCGTTGGGAAA